AGAAAAAAGGGACAGAGAGACAAAAGGAAGGAGAGAGAGAGAGAGAGAGAGAGAGAGAGAGAGAGAGAGAGAGAGAACACACATGGCCGGCAAGCCACTCCCACCAGGTTACATAGCCGGCAAACCACTCCCACAAAGGAGGCCACATCCACAGAGTAGGTTCCAAAAAATTTTGAAACCCACTACTGCTCAGCTGGCTTCACGCCTAAGGAAAACTAGAATTCACAGACTCCCATTTCTAGCCTGGTGCCTTGAATCACTACATCAAGTCTTCATCTTGACTCTGGCACTGATATTAATATCAATTTATAGCATTTATATCTTGTTCATGGGCTGCAGTTTTACTGGCTATTTTATACAAAGGACACCAGTCATTCCTCAACCAATTTCCCGCAACATGAGCAGGAAAACTTTCTTACTAATTCTTTCTTTGACAGTGTTATCCTAAGGCAGGGGGTCCCCCAAACCCCAGGGCGCAGCCTACTACCAAGCTGTGGCCTATTCAAAACTGGGCCCTGTGAGAAGAGGGTCAGCCCGCACACACTGAATGCAGCTCAACTCACACAAGTGGCAGAATGACGTACGGCTGCACTCATACGAGTGGTGGGCCGGCAGACACGCACATATGCTCCAGCCCACCACTCACACAACTCGGTTCCCACCACCACCTAGCCAGGCCACCAGGTTGCAAGTTTGGGGACTGCTGTCCTAAGGATTAAGCCAAATGCTTATATTTTTGCCTCATCCATTTAAAAAAATTTACACATTTTTATGGTAGGGCTCCCTGACCAGAAGGCTATAATCTTGAATAAAAACCCAAAACAAGTCAGAAAGGCAAAACATTAACAGTGATCATTAGTCCCACAGGATGCCAGAACCTTCCTCTCCCAACATAGGTAAAGGTTCCCCTCACACATATGTGCTAGTCGTTCCCGACTCTAGGGGGTGGTGCTCATCTCCATTTCAAAGCCGAAGAGCCAGCGCTAGATATCTCTGTGGTCATGTGGGCGGCATGACTAAACACCGAAGACGCACGGAACGCTGTTACCTTCCCACCAAAGGTGGTTCCAATTTTTCTACTTGCATGTTTTACGTGCTTTTGGCAGAAGCTGGGAGCTCACTCCACTATGCGGCACTAGGGATTCGAACCGGTGAACTGCCAACCTTCTGATTGACAAGCTCAGTGTCTTAGCCACTGAGCCACCCTTAGACTATATAACAGAAGTTTTATTTTGATTTGATAAATACTTTGAAGCTAATTAAAACCTGAAAACCTGAAATAAAAATATCCTATTTCAAAACCACACTTTTGTCCATTTTTCAAATGAAGCTTGGATAATGAAATATTCTGGGCAGGGGCAACTATCCCACCTGATAATCATTTTATTGTATCACTAGCATGCACAATTTTTGTTAACTTGCAAATACTTAGCAATGGAACAGAACAGAAGAATACTTACTTGAGTATCATATTCATAGTTTCATTTCGGTCTTTACCTTGGAAAGGTAAAGTACCAGTGAGCATTTCAAACTGAAAAAGAAGGAAAGACCAAAAATATTTAGAAAACAAACTAACAAATAAGACTTAAGCTTCTAGAATTGAGATGTAAGAAAAGCTTGCTTATTATTATAATGCATTATAATGTATTATAATGTATAATATATAACTTATTATTAATGTATTAATGAATCTATTATCTATTATGAATTTAACAATTCATAATTTCTGCTGCTAAGCTTACATCATGACAGAAAGCGTGTTACTCGATTAGCGTAAGTTAGTCTGCCTTCAGAATTATTAAACAAAATATTAAACAATTTTGATAACATTAAACACGTTCTAAAGACTTTGCACTAATACAGATGTGGTTAATTTAAGATACTTAAATAGTCAGACAAAACTGTGTGGCTGAAAATACATTTATAACTTTGTTTAAAGAGTTAATGACAACTACAAACACTTCATTACAATCACATTTACCATAGAATTATGCAATATGTTTTTCAACTTCCAATTCTGCTTTAAGTGTTCCTTCCTCCGCTATTTGGCTCAAAAAAAACTAACATAAAGTGCGTTCAGTTCAACTGAAATAACACACTTTCCATCATGATGTAAGCTTAGCAGCAGAAATATAAATATTAATTATAGTTTATTACATCTCATTAAATTTGTATATCACTAAATAATTCTGACTCTTGGCATCTTGTAAAGTATAACAAAAAACCTCATGCTAAGAGTATAAAATAAAATAAAAATAAAATAAACAAAACATTCACAACAATAAAACCCCAAACAAATAAATATATTTAAGCCAGAACCCCCAAAACATCAAACATGACTATAATTACAATAATAATAGATCAATTTGGGTGGTCCTTGATGCTCTCTGAGCTTTGTGGTTTTCTTGGAGATGTCTCATCACCAAACTAGACACCATCATCAGTTGTGCAGTTATTGATGATGTTATCTAGTAGGGTAATGAAACATCTGTAAGAAAACAACCAAGCTCAGAGAGCACGAAAGACTCCACAGTTCAACCCTGCGAAATGCAAATATTCCCTTCTATCATTCATGCATTGTGAGTCTCAAATGCTTATGACATGCAACACACAACCGAGCCATTAATGCACAGTACCATGAGGACACCAAATGACCACCAGTCAGCACTTTGGTTGTGGCCCCGCCTGTTCACAACTTCAGGGGCCATGTATTCTACAGTACCGCAGAAAGAATATGCTTTCTTCTCTTGATCAACCGATTCTTTGCTTAAGCCGAAGTCTAAAACAGCATCACAAAGACATACCAAGTAAAGAAATACTGAGCAGACATCAGGCGATAGAAAGTGAAGATTAGCATGTAAGTTCTTTAGGGGAAGTAATGTGACCTAGATATGAGTCAATGATAGTCCTCCAGCTATCATGACAAGTCTACTTTCCTCAACCCTACCCAATGAGAAGCGGTGATAGAAGGTCATGATCTCTTCTTGATCTCTTATCAGTCATGTGTCATGGTAGAAACTCCAGCCCTTTTGTATTTGCATAGTAATGTTGCATGCAGGACATAAGAGGCCGAGCTTGCAACATTGCAACCTTAAACACTCAAAGAGCCACAAAGGTCCTAACTGGAAGCCCCCTCCCATTCAATTCTGGAGCCAACTGGAAGTCCAATTCCCCCACCCTAGAGTCTCCTCCTAGCTTGGCATTGTTTTTCCTCCACCGACCAGAAGTCTGGTTCCCCTACTATAAAATCTCCTCCTAGCACAGTGTCCCTTTTCCTTTACCTGTCCTAACCAAAAGCTCTATCAATTGTGGAGCTGATAGGGAGCTGCAGCAGAGGGATGAAAGAGCCACATGCAGCTCCAGAGCTGCGGGTTGCTGATCCCTGGTCTAAATTTTAGTAGACTGATACCCAACATGACTATCAATGAACTCTTAAATTAATTACTAAATAAGACAATTAAAATGGGCCCATACAAGCCTAGCTAAATACCCACAAGCTGCATAATGACACAACAAAGTTCTAGTACTCTCTTTCCTCTCCCTTCCTAGTTACCGTACATAAATTCATGATTCATTGATGTTACAACTTTATGATTGGTTTGAAGAATATATTATAGGTAATGTCAGTTATGATTGTGCATCACCCGTAAAGATATGGACTTGTTTTAGATGTAAAACCAATATGTCTCACCACTGCGGTCAATGAAAAGTTTGAGAATCGGTTTGGACTTAAACTCTAGCCCAGTTTTTGGAAAGTTTCATCAGTCAAAGGCTTTGACCCAGTGTTTCTCAAGCTTTAAGATTTGTGGACAGGGCTGGCTGGGGAATTCTAGGAATTCAAGTCCATATATCTTAAGAGTTGCCAAGGTTGAGAAACACTGCTTTGATCTCTGATGGCTTCCACCAGTGTCCAAGTGACAGATTTTTTGCAATGGTACAAAGACCAAGCTAAACTTTTCAAATTTGTCTATCTTTCTCCGAGTGGAGAATTTCAACTTAACGCAAGTCCTTCTTTGCATCATCTCACAAATGTACCCTATTTTCCTGAAAATAAGACCTCTCCAGATAATAAGTCCAATTGGGCTTTTGAATGCATGCTCTAAAATTAGACCTCCCCCCGAAAATAAGCCCTCTCTGAAAATATTGAACACAGCAGCAGCCATGAGATGACCACGCTCGCCGCCTCCTACACCTCCAAAATAATAAGATCTCCCCAAAAATAAGTCCAATTGCTTATTTCAGAGGTAAAAAGAAAATAAGACCCTGTCTTATTTTCGGGGAAACACAGTATTGAATATATACATGTGGTAACTTTTTTTTCCCTCAAAAAAGCAGAGTCCACACTGAGCTTGTAGACTCATTTCTGTTCACCCTATTTTAATATTTTCAGCCTACAGTGAAGCAAGCTAGCTAACACAGCTTTTCTCTGAAGCATGCTTAGTTCACAAGTGTCATTTTTAGTCAACATTCAGCTATAAAATGTAGTCTCAGCTACCTGCAGTTAAGCACCAAATTAGAATAATGAACATCAGTATTTCTTCAAGAGGCTAAAAGCCAGTGTCTGGTTTTTAAATTAATTGCATTTCCGCGATCTATTTAGAGTGTGTTGTTGTTGTAACACTTGTTTTGATTAGTTGCTTTATTATCTTACTGGAGAATTTGTTTTGCTTTTATTGTACATACATATTAGTCGCCCTAACAGTTGGTGTCTAGGAAATGTTATAAATAAGCAATTATTACTTTTGACAGATCCAAATGGAAGGAACGGCTTCTTGTGAAGCACACCAGATACGCTAAACAGCATGACCATGAGAATCAAAAACACAAGAAAATGTACATCTTCCAGAGAGGCTGAAAATGGGTAAGAAATCCACATGGCTGTCTCTGAAAATACAACATACACGACTGTACAACAGCACACTTGGTCTTGGCCAAAAGCTGAGTTAAACTACTTTTAACTCATTTTTAATGGTTGTGTTTAAACAAGGTTGATTATCGCCCAGATTCTCAGGCGTGAGAAGGGCAGCTATATAAATTCAAGAAATAAATAAATAAAGAGAGCGCACACAAGGAGCTAAGAGAGCTGTAATGTTTTAACTTGCATCATGTTAATTTCAACCAACATTTGGAGTATTATTTGAAACTTGGTCACTAACACAATCAAACATTGAGAAGCAAGTGATTGACCAAGTGCCAGAAACACTACACCACTTCAGATAAATGGTTGTCCAATCTATTCTTAAAAGCTTCCAGTATTGGAGCATTCACAACTTCTGGAGGCAAGCTGTTCCACTGATTAATTGTTCTAACAATCAGGATATTTCTCCTCAGTTCTAAGTTGCTTTTCTCCTTGATTAGTTTCCACCCATTGCTTCTTGTTCTACAGGTGCTTTGGAGAACAGTTTGACTCCCTCTTCTTTGTGGCAACCCCTGATATATTGAAACACTGCTATCATGTCTCCCCTAGTCCTTCTTTCCATCAAACTAGACACATCCAGTTCCAGCAACCGTTCTTCCTATGTTTTAGCCTCCATTCCCCTAATCACCTTTGCTTAATGCTTTGTAAAAATGAGCACTCTTCTGCTTCATTATATGTTGAAAATGCTAGCTTTGCAGTGAACGATTATGCATCTGCAAGCCTGTTTTTGTACATGCTGTACAGTTCTATTACTAGGCTTTATACTTTGACGTTACTCATCTGCTATGATAGATGAGAGTACAACAGCCAGCTGGCAGATGTAATCACAGGATGTAGTCAGAGAAATCAAGAGGACAGCCACTGTGATTGATCCTCCACCTGTTGTCTATGTGTAGCACACTTAAAAATGGGTCCAGGTTATTTGAAGGACCATCTTTTCCAAGTTATATCTACCCAACCCATCAGGGTGGAAACACTCCCTCTCCTTAGAAAAGGTCCACCAAGTGGAACCAAGAAGAAGGATGTTTGGTTCCCACCTTGAAAACTCTTTTGAAAGGCCCCAAAGACATAGTTTTTCCATAGGTTCTGGGTAATATTGCGACCAATAAGATCCCATAGATTAGGCCTCCTCCGTATCCCATCGGCCAGCCAGTGTCGGCTGGCAACTACAAGGAGGAGGGCCTTCTCAGCAGTAGCCCCGACCCTTTGGAACGAGCTCCCCGTGGAGATTCGTACCCTCTCCACCGTCCAAGCCTTCCGCATAGCCTTGAAGAACTGGCTCGCCCACCAGGCCTGGGGATAAGGACTCCTACCCCGCCCGAATGAGGAATGTATGTTGTTTACTATTTTATTATATGTTGTCGTCTTAATGTTGTATGCCCCCTTCCCGGTTCTGTGTGAGCCGCCCTGAGTCCCCTCAGGGAAAAGGGCGGCCTACAAATACTAATAAAACTCAAACTCAAAACTCAAATATTGTGCCGAAATAGTGGGTTGCTTGATTGCTGTCACCAGGGAAGTGGGGGTTTATTGGGTTTTATAATTGGGGTTTTATTTCTATTAGCCAACTGGTGTCACCATGGGTGAGTTGGGAAGCCATACAAGTTTTCTTAATGAATCAATAAATAATAAAGATGGGTAGAACTTTGTTTGAAGCATCATGGCTTCTCTTTACTTTTTGAGACCATGTCTTGCAGATTCTCCACCAGCTGGGGTGGACACTGGAGGATGGCTCAAGAAGAGATGACACCCAGCCTAAAATTAAACTGATTCTTTTAGGAATGTAGCATTTGTTCAACAAAAAATAATTTGAAGGGATAAAGGAGGACATGATGGAGGAATTTAACCAGCAACAACTTGACTCAGTTCAAAATACCTTCTGTTTTAATCAATTGAGTCTATTGAGGTAAATTTATATATATTTATATTTTAAATAAAACTAAACTAATAAGTTCCACCTACCTGTTAACTTGATATGTCCTGCTTCATCAAGCAAAATGCTGAAAATTAAAATTCACATTCACCAATGCACATAACAAGAATATTTTAATAAGACAGTTGAGCAAATTAGAATGCTATAGTATTGACATTTAATTAATTAAGAATTTTCTGAAAACATTTTGGGGAAAAAAAAGAGTAGAGGTAGCCTTTGACTTACAACAGTTCCTTTAGTGACTGTTCCAAGTTACAACAGCACTGAAAAAAGTGACTCACACTTACAACCACTGTGGCATCCCCATAGTCGTGGGATCAAAATTCAGACAATTGGCAACTGACTCATAACTTATGACCACTGCTGTGTCTCAAGATCACGTGATCCCCTTTTGCAACTTTTTGACAAGCAAAGTCAACGGGGAAGCCAGTTTCGCTTAACAACGGTATTACTAATTTAACAACTGCAGGGATTCACTTAACAACAGTAGCCAGAAAGGTTGCATAACGGGGCAAAATCCTCTTAGCAACAAAGATTTTGAGTTCAGTTGTAAGCCGAACGTCAAGGACTACCTGTTATAAGCAGTGATTCCACATTTATTTTATGGCAAATACAAAGAAGGGTTTAAATAAGAGTACTGTAATAGTGGATAAAATACATTTTACTTTACTTTTCTGGCTTCAAGTCCCGGTATACAATTCCCAAGCTGTGGAGGTGATCCAAAGCTAGAGCCAGTTCTGCGAGGTAGAATTTCACATCTTCCTCTGTAAACATAACCTAATAAGAACTATATAGATTTACATTCCGCTCTGGTTAAATTTCTGTACATCAAAGACGTTAGCAAATCCTACAGAGTTTAAAGATCGGCGATGCAAATTCACTAGTCCGGGGATGGCGAACCTTTTCGGCAATGAGTGCCCAAACTCATTCTCAGGCCATTTTCTGGTGTTCCAGCACCCATCAAGACCAGCTGGTTGCCGGAAACCAGAAGAACAGCTGGAAACAGCACGCGTGCCCGCAGAAGGGGCTCTGCGTGTCAGCTCTGGCATGCGTGCCATAGTTTCACCATCGCGGGACTAGTCCGTACTGCCTGTTGTTTGTAAACAAGGGTGCTTGTTCTTTGTAAATTTTTTATTAATATAAATAGAAAAAGCAACATGTTCGAAATCCATATAGACAAGTGTGTTGCCTGGTTACAATTCTTTTAAGTAATATTCATCATAGTAATAATAATAGTACTCTCTAATAGCAATCGCATAAGAACAGTGTTTTTCTCTCATAATATGAATACATATTAAATGTTAATGCTAATCAAAAGTAATAAGTTACAGTAATCAACCCTAATAATAAAGTTATTCTTTCTCTTGTAATTTTAGAAGTTCTAACTCCTGATTCTCTTATTTAGCCATTGATAAAACAGATCCCTCAAAATGTTCAGTGTCTTCCCTTTCTTTGATTTCAAATGTTAGTTTATTCATTTCTGTACATTCTAAAATGTTTGTTATTCTCTTTTCTTCGGTCGGGATCTCCTTGCCCTTCCAATGTTTTGCGAAAAGGCAACTGGACTTTTGTTTTTCCTTGAAGACAAAGGAAAACAAAGGGAAAACAAATGCCAGTTGCTCTTTGAGAAAGCACCTTTGGGACAACCATGACCTGGATGACAGAGAATCTCCACAGGCATTGATCCTATTAGTCCTCCAAGAATAAATATTCAGAGCATGCCTTTTGAGGCAGCTCATCAATGACAAATGAATGATTAGAAGGGAAGTGGAATGGTTGACTTCTGGAAGGCCATGTGTCCACAGAATACCTAATTCCTCTGAATGGAAAAAAAAGGTCCAAATGAACAAGATTATTTAATGATCTCAAATAATCCCATATGATGAAAAGATCTCCAAGACCATAGAAATTAAAAGTGAGATGTAACCATTAAACACAAAACTCTGAAATGATCTGAACATGGGTGCAGCACCCACAAAATTGAGTCGAACACTTGTTTATGACTCAGTTCTACAGAAGAATGATTGAGTCTGTCATCTGCACCTCCATAACTGTCTGGTTTGGCTCTGCAAACCAACAAGACAGACACGGACTTCAGAGGAGAATCAGAACTGCAGAAAAAATGATTACTGCCAATCTGCCATCCACAGGGGACCTGTACACTGCACGAGTCAAAAAGAGGGCTGTGAAAATATCTACAGACCCCTCACGTCCTGGACATAAATTGTTTCAACTTCTGCCCTCAAAATGATGCTGCAGAGCACTGCACAACAAGACAACTAGACACAAGGACAGTTTTTTCCCCAAATGCCATCACTCTGCTAAACAACTAATTCCCACAACACTGTCAAATAATTTACTAAAACTGTATTACTACTATTCTTCTCTTCCTTCTTAGTATCTATCTCTTCCCACTTATGACTATAACCATGTTGCTTGTATCTTTCAATTTATATTGTTTTATTTGTTTCCTAGTAAGATTTGATAACTTATTAGTAACCTTGACTATCACTAAGTGTTGTATCTTTTTATTCTTGGTGAATGTATTTTGGCGCCTAGGAGCGCTGGAACTGGCATCAACCCAGGCCTGCCACCACCACCCCCAAACTGGTTCTCCCAGTGGCGCCATAGGCGCTGCCATCTTGTTTTCTGCTTTTGCGCATGTGCAAAGCAATTTTTATTGCACTTCTGGGCAAATGTGCATGAGCGTGGAGCGCGCATATAGCACACGCACAAAATTGCATGCGCACCTGGCAGTAATGCCAGCAGCCACCCACTCTGGAGCATATGGACCAAAGACAAATTCCTTGTGTGTTCAATCACACTTGGTCAATGAAGAATTATATTCTATTCCATTAAAGCACCCATATGATACGGGGTTTGCACTCCAGTGGGCTTTGAAACATCTCCTCTTTTAGTGTCCCTTCTAAGACATTTCTAAGTCCTGGAGAGAAAAAAAATCCTACTTCCTTACACAGCGAGAAATGCTTTATTTATTAATATATTTGACCTCGTTGTGTTTTTACACAGAAACCTTTCCTCTGAGTGAGGAAAAAAAACAACATTTCTAAACGCAGAGAGTAAGATGATTTTTATGTAGTCATAACAGTGTAGGAGGCAACTATTTATTCAATCCTGCCTTTCCTCCAGAAAGCCAAAAACAGCATTCCACCCTCTTAAGTTCACGATCGCAATTTGTCCTCACAATTTGGAGGGAGATTAGGTTAAGAGATAGTAATGGCAAGTTGATCCAGTTTCTTCACCGCTGAACAGTGAAAGAGAGACAGATTTAGTCAAGGGAAAAAAAACTGCCCAGATTTGAAACTAAGATATAGAATAAATGGATTTGAGACAGTCATCTCCTCTGAGCATAATGTCCCTCTCACATTATCATCATCTCCTTTTAATGACCCCATAATCCTTTGTGGGGTGGAGTCCGGGAAACTGAATAGTGTTTTAATGGCCGGATGCTTTCCTGTCACCAATGCGAACTTTTGTTCTCATTGTGCCCAGAGAGAGAGAGAGAGAAATATCTGCCTGTACCTAGGATTGAACTCACAGCCTCCTGGTTGTGAGGCAAGAGGTCCACCTTTAGGCCACCGCACCACCATGTCTCTCCCACATGGATATTGAAAATATAAAAAAGAGAACGCGGAGCTCTTGGAAGAAAAGGCAAAGATAAAAACTTAGTATAAGCTATGTTTTAAAAAGTCCATAAATACATACCTCTTTGGATAATCTTGTGAACACGTCTCCTCCCCTGAGAAAATCCAATATTAAATATAGCTTTCCTTCAGTCTGGAAGGCTGGAAAGAGCAGCCATAAAACATGAATCAGTTTTGTGGAACAACAGATATGGCGCATAGATAAAACACTAAACAATATTTATTAATCAATTAATAAATTAACAATGTTCTATTAATTTAGGACAGGGGTGTCATACTCGACTTCATGGAGGGCTGCATCAGAGTTGTGTTTGACCTCAGGGGGGCGTGGCCAGCTCGACATCACTCATATCGTGGGGCACCTATGGTGGCCAAATGCTAAGGCAGGACTTCCCTCAGACCTTTCCTCCCTCTCATTATAATCTTCCTTCTTCCCTCCCTCCCTTCCTTTTCTTCTTTTTCCTTCCCTCTTCATTCTCCTTTCTCCTGGAGACTGGGGAAGGCTCTGATGAGGGCTCTGTGTCGGAGGCAGAGATGGGGTCGGGGCCATCCGCCATCCGAGTCGGAGATCAGTGTGGCAGAAGAACAGCTGGAGCCTGTTCCCAGTGTGCGCATGCACAGAGTTTCCAGTCGAAGGGAACAGCTAAAGAACAGGGGTCGACTTGGGAATAAAGTCACAGGTGGATGGTGAATGACCCCTCCCATGAGGAATAAAGAGGAACGAAAGGGGAGAGGAGTTTGCAGGAGACAATTACTTCAATTCAGTAGGGTGAAGGTCTGTCCCTGACTTCTTGCCAAGTATTGTCTGCTACAGAGCGGCATTTGGAAGATAGCAATAGCAATAGCAGTTAGACTTATATACCGCTTCATAGGGCTTTCAGCCCTCTCTAAGCAGTTTACA